GGGGAATTGTTCACGGAAATATGTCATTGTTCCCCCTACTGCAGAGGGATTTCTATCCAGGGTGCCCCTTACGCGATTTTAAAGAAATTTGAGCCCCCCCCCCCGCACCGGACCCTAAATTTCGATTAGAAGGCCTATGTGTCTTGAAAAACAATTCACATAGACCCTTGATGGGACAGCAGTACTGTAGAAATGAATCACTCTGACGGTGGACGGATATGCGGCGACAATCTCAGCTTCGATGGCAAAGTTCGTGTCTATCGATGGGATTAATGGGAGCCGGTCTGGCGGGGCCGTATACCAGAGACAAAACTGCAGTGCGTTCGGCTCTGGTCGGCGTGTACACGCCGATGATGCCCCTCAGGCGCAAATTATGCCCCACAAGGGGCTTTCTTCGGTTTGTCAGTATTTATGGGGGTGAGTACAACTACGAGCGGCCGGGGGGTGGGGTGGGGTGGGGTGGGGTCGATAGATATCAGTACAGGTTCAGCCCCCCCGAAATACTTCTCCTTACCTCGGTCAAGATCTGCCAAACAACGATCATGATTTTGAGTGACTGGAGAGGAAGAAGCTGCTTCAATCGATGCCATGGTCCCGCCGGGGGAGCGTCGCGATCGCGATCGCGCTCCTTGGACACCATGTACACCAGAAATATCAGCCCCAGTATCACCATAATTGGCAATGCCACCAGCGCCACCACGGTTGCCTTGCCATCCGAGCAGTTGCTGCATGTGAATGACAGCGATTCGGCGAATCCATCGCTGCACACCGCACAGTCTGATACACACGGTAGGGACAAAGAAGGAAAGAACTACTTGTTCATTGACCCCAGCGCAAACAAAAGCAGTGAGCATACGTCGGCATTGCATGCACCGCGCGAGCACAAGGCTGGGAAGGACGCAAGTACCTGGCTCGCGCGTGCAGCTCACGCTCTTCACTATACCAGGCATTTCCAATCATCTACCTGTGTCGGAGAGAACCTAACTTCCAGTGTACGGACCAAAGTCCCAAACCGCCGTGACGTACATGCACCTTCGTAGCCCTCAGCACAGTAGTCAGCAGCCCCAGTTTCTCCGCCCAAGCAAGCGTCCGCGTTGTGACAGGCAAGAATATTCCGACTGGAAGGTGTTGCACGCCAATAGCCGCGGTCGATCGAGAGAGTTTCGACGGTGCTGCCCGTGCTCTGGGCGTGATCAGGCGTGATTGTGCACGTAGGGACTTCGCTGTTGTCAGCAACATCGCAATCGTTGCATTCTTCACATCCGGAACAAACGTTCGAGTATCGATCGCCCTGAGACGGTCACGGGAGCATTGCATGGATGGAACAAACGGTGAACGTGATAGACTGTGTAAAAATTATCTCTGTAGGAGGATCACACCAAAGTCTCGTGAGCGTAGAGCCCTGCGTCGTGTGTCGAATAAGCTCAACTCGACAACTTTGCAGTACTAGGGTTCACGGCTGGCTTGGCAGAACGCATCGCTCCGACTAAGCCAACCTTTCCATACGACCCAATCGAACGCAGTCGTCGAAAATGTCAATTTCGCCATACCTGCATCACGGTTGGTGGTTACACACTTGCAGACATTTTGCATGGGTCGTCTCACTGCACTTTGTGCGGTGGCGCCAACATGGGTACAGAAACAATCGTTTAGGGGCGGACCGGTGTTTCGTGTACAATCCCAACCAGCACCATAGCCTTGTGGATAAGAACCTCGACAAAACACTACACAGATGAACGTAAACGTCGACCAATTCCTGGCTTTGTAATGAAGTTTCGTTTGATACTGGCTTGTTGGTGTCCTCCCATCACCCAGATCGGGAGGGACTGCTACCACCTTCAGATGTGGCCATTCTGGCGTCCTTCAATTTGTGTTTTGGTAGCCTCTAGAAGCCCCTCAACTAGTGCAGTCATCGACTGTCTCGTTTGAGTAGTACCGACAGAATCCAAAGGGAACGGTGAACGGTAACCATGTTGACATTTGTGGAAAAGGCACACATAACACATACAGCCAGCCGCAGAGCCGAAGGGTATCGATCACATTTTACAACAAAAGTAACAAGAACATACATCGACGAAGTCCAGGAAAAATCCTGAAGGGCAGACAACATCGTTGTCGGCGAATGTACAGGCCTCTATGCCGTCCATGAAGCCCAAGTTGTGTATCGCTGGTCCTCCTTGCTCGTCTGCATGGTTGTTCATGAACAGACAGTTCGAGACCGACACCGAGCCAGCGAACCTCGCGGCACCCCCTTGACTCGCCGTGTTGCCCAAGAAGGTGGAATTCACCACCAAATCCTTTCCAGCAGCGCTCTCCATCGCCCCTCCCGAGGCCGTCGCCCAGTTCCCTGTGAAATTACAGCCAGTGTACGTCACCGGAAACTCCTCTCCGGTAGCCAATATGGTCGTCCCCGATCCCGTGGAGCGCACAGCCCCCCCGATCTGCGCCGAGTTTGAATCGAAACGTATTCCGCTAAAGGTCGGGCCTTCCCCAACGCCTGTGAGACAGACGGCCCCGCCGGAGGATTCAGCAACATTTTGCAGGAACTGTGTACCGTCAGATGCGAAGGAAAGGGATACTGATCCGCTGATCATCAGGGCTCCACCACAGCTTTGGCAGGAGTTGTTGAAGAAAGAAGTGATGCCGTCGATCGAAATGATGCTTTCGGTCGCATCTGTGACACTGTCCAGGGGCGATACCACGGCGCCCCCGTACACGTCAGCGTGGTTATTCGAGAAGTCCGTCCGTCCGGTGAAATTTACCTCCGCGCCCTCTCCTACAAACAAACCGCCACCAGATCCAGATACAAAGTTGCCTTCGAAAGTCGTCTCTCCACTCCACGCTATGGAAGAGGAGGTACCACTGACGTGAACCGCACCGCCATTCCTTGCGCTGTTTCCCTCAAACCTGGTGTCTCCAGTCCAAGCAACAGACGAAATATCTGTTACGTAGAGAGCGCCCCCGTCCTCGCTAGCATTGTTCCCCACGAAGGCTGTCGAATTGGACCAGGAAGCACTCGAGTACCACTCCAAGCAAACAACGCCACCGCTCGTTGCTTGGTTGTTGGAAAAAACTGTTTCTCCGGTCCATGAGAAAATGCCAGTGTCATTTGCGTGCAAAGCGCCACCGCAAAAACACGCCTCGTTATCCTCGAACAATGTACTCCCACTCCAGATTGCCGAGCTGTTCGAGTCCACCGCCACGGCCCCGCCGTAGCACACCACCTCACGGTCGACGGCATCGATATCTATGCGGTTATCAATGAAGCTCGTCTGTTCGGTCCAAGAAACGTTGGACTCGAGTATAGCATTGATAGCTCCGCCGTAGCTGAAGCCACCGTTGTGGCCGAAACTGTAGATTCGGTTGCCGATGAAAGTCGTGTTGCCGCTCCACGACACGGACCCAGCACTGCGGATGAGAATGGCGCCTCCATCCCAAGAACATGAGTTGTCAGCAATAACCATGTCACCGTCCCAAGACACCGCCCCGCCGTCAACGAACATCGCCCCCCCGTGCTCATCGGCCGAGTTGTTGACCAATGCACTACCCCCGCTGAATGTCACCGTTCCCAAGGCACTAAAAATAGCCCCACCTGCGACGCCATGTCCGTTGGAGAGTGTCATCCCGTGTAGGTTCAGAGAAGAGTTGATCACGCCGAAGATCCGAGACTCTCCGTTTCCGTCTGCAACAGCTGGACTCGCTGTGGTGTCCACCCCTGTGATGTTGAC